CAGCATCACGGTTGTCTGAACCAATGAGCATTAAACTGTGTCGTCATCCAGTCGTTTCCCATCATGCTTTTGATCAGCGCAGTCGGTGGAGAGCAACTGCGCTCGACTGCACAATCCGACACAGCCGCTTCGCCGTCGCCAGAGTTTTTTGGCGCAAGTCAGCATGACATCAGAGCAAGTCGGACGTAACTCGGACACTTATCTAACCGGCATGCATCTCGTGGTGATCACCGGTGATCGGTTCTGCGCGCTATCATATGTTTAATAATTAGCGTATATATTACGTTAAGCATCTGCTAAGTACTTAATGTGTGCTTGGCTTTATTATCTTATATTGAAACTTGAATTTGTTGTCATACTTTATAGTATATAACTTTTTTCTGTGGATGTTTCGATTAATTTTCGGATGCATGCTGTAAATGGATGGGCAAACTACCCCTTAAAAACCGTAAGGTAGCGCTACTCTGTTAAAAAATGTAAGCTCCGCCCCTCACTTCCGGTTCTGTGGCTGCGGTTCTGAAACTCCTGGTGCTGCGTGGTCTGCAGCTGGATACTATTGCAGTCGGTGGAGAGCAACTGCGCGCGACTGCGCAATCCAACACAGCCGCCTCTCCGGTTGCCAGAGTTTTTTGGCACAAGTCAGCATTACATCAGAGCAAGTCGGACGTAACTCGGACACTTTTCTAACCGGCATGCATCTCGCGGTGACCGGTTCTGCGCAGATTTTGCTCATCTCAAACAAGCCTAAAGAGTCGTCCGCTCTATTATGGCTCTCGCGGTACTTTGATGTCATACCCCGATCGTTCTGCGCAGCGCCGATGCATCTCGAACAAGCCTAGCGTTACGGTGCTCCTTCTGTCTCACGTATTGTGTTGTTCCTATTGGTCACTGAACATGTTCCGTCATAAACCTACGTCATCATTTCCGTTTCCGTATATTGAACTAGATGAATCTTGTAAGGATTTTATCCGCTTTTTGCGTTATTCCAGTGGTTTCAATGCACTTTTAAAATGCGTGGATAACAAACATCTCCCCCTTGAAAACAAAATGTAGAACATATTCGTGAAAGCCTACCAAGTGTTTGACAGCAAGGAGGTGTTTACGATGGCTGTGCTGTAACATCAGTGTGACTCAGGTTTGGTGCATTGCCTGGCGATGCGATGATATGCTGCTTGGATGGGGTTAGAAATGGAAAATCGTTGTGGGACGTCAAAACCTCAACACCTTGACTAACGACGATCGCAGGAAATCACTGATTATTTTCATCTGCTCTGGCTTGTGCATGACGACGTTCCTGTAAAATAAGAATTGTGGGTATGGAGGAGAGTACTGAGGAACTGAGGGAGGAGTGGACCTTGCTCCTCTGGACCACGGTTGCTGTTCTGGTCCCAGTGCTCATCACGCTGTGGTGCAGCTTCCAGCGTCCTAAACGCAAAGTTCAGCTGAAAGATCTGTTCCGAAAGAGCAAACACGGCTGGCACTACACAGATCTGTTCAACAAGCCCACCTACTGCTGCGTGTGTTCTCAGCCCATCCTGCAGGGGGCGTTCTGTGACTGCTGCGGCATATGTGCGGATGAGCAGTGCATACAGAGGGCAGATCGCATCCTCTCGTGTAAGGAGATCATGACACAGAGACAGACAGATGGGAGGTTTTACCATCAGTGGGTCAGGGGAAATGTGCCCCTCGCCAGCTACTGTGCCAAGTGCAAACAGCAATGCGGGACTCAACCTAAACTTTGCGACTATAGGTATTAAATAACCCTGAGCTTTCTTTCTTTCTTTCTTTCTTTCTTTCTTAGATGGATAGATATGAAAAACACAAATTATCCTCCTGGTGTAAAATAGGCTAGGCTACATCAGGATCTAGACCAGTTGTCATTCTAAACCATTTTGTCAGATATATTAAACTTGTACCACAATTTTGGACAAAAATTAATAACCACATTTGAAGAGAATATAAAAGGGAAATTAATAAAAGAAAAATATATTCATATTTCATATTTTAATCAATGTAGAAAACAACAACAACTGCACTTTCACCTGGTCAACTTTCAAGGTTTCAAATATTTTAAAGTTTAATGAATGGCTTTGTGAAAATAAATAAGAATCAATTTAAGTATTGAGGAGAGAACAAGGCAAACAAAACAAAACAAACAAAGCTTTCTAATTTGAACTTATTAAGTTGTGAAAGAAAATACAAATAAACAATCAAAAGGCTACCTGGACCATCTCTAACTATAAACAACAACAAAAACTATTTTGAAAAAAAAACTGATGCCTACCTTCCAAGAACTTTCATAGTTTTAACAATATTTACAAAAGTCAAATTCAAGTCATGTCAATATTTACAGTACAAGAAAATGTTAAAGAACAGACAAGTGTTTTTACATCTTAACTTACAGCAAAAAGGATGGCTAAACGGCAACAACTAGACACAGATCAATAGCAGCCGAGAGCACACTGAACAGAACTTAAAAGCGTCTGTTGAAATCCATTTTTGTTAAGGCTGCGGTGCTTAAAATGCATCACTGGCTGTTGAACAAACAGAGCAAACCAGAATCCTGTCCTCTTCTCGTGTGTTTAATCTTTCTAAAACATGGTTTGATTAAAGAGTCATTAATCCCTGTAATCCAGCTGTTATGTGTGATCCAGGACCAGGTCCTTCCACCTAAATCCTCAGTGTCAAAGGTAGCGCTAAACTGGTCCCAGATCAGCTTCTGCTGAGGCTCATAGCAAAACAAGTATTGCTTTAAAATCTTTTTAAAATAATTTGTACCATTTTTTTATTTTACGACTAATTAAGAAGATATTATCTGCAAGATAAGAATTCTTATTATGAGTTTTACTAGAGGGTTTGCAGTCAGTACAGTATCCATTTCAGTGTTTTACAACAAGCTATCAGTTCTAAGTGCTCTCACTCACATTTGCTGTTTTTATTTGGGAATATATAGGTGTGTATGGTGTCAGACCACAGTGCATGATGACTGCCTTTCTAGTCTGAATGATGATCTGTGTGATCTTGGAGAGTTCCGCTCTGTTATCATACCTCCATATTACCTCTATCAAGTCAACAAGCTCCGCCGAAGACACCCTGATGAGTACAGTAAGGTAAGGATCCATCCACAAACATATGTAAAAAAAAATTTACAACAGAGACAACAATATATATATACTGTATATATATATATATATATATATATATATATAGGGCACATGTGCTGTAAAGTCTTGTATTATGAGCAATGGCTTTTGTCATTCAATTTATTTTGTATTTCTGCTGTTAATGTGTTAGGTGGAAAGTTCAAGTTGTCTCCAAAGGAAACTATTTTCGTAAGCCAAAGGTCAGTACATACAATATACTGTATGATCGACCAGCAGGAGGATGTACCCCAGAATGCAAATGAAATTATTTGTATGCTAAGCAAATTTTAACATAACCAATTTATTAGCATAAAATCCCATGAAATACAGTATTAGTTAAATCAATCATGACACGTTCAATTCATGAAGACAAGAGATTAAGATTTTAGCTTAAGGTTGTTTTCTCTCCAGGTGTTGTCCATGAATAATTATTTCTCAGTGGGTCCTGATGCTCTCATGGCATTGAACTTCCATGCGCACAGAGAGAAAACGCCCTCCTTTTTCTCCAGCCGAATCATCAATAAGGTCTGTGGCATTGCCTGTCCATCATTTCATTTTTAATTTCAGAGGAAAATGAAATCGAAAGAGCATCTAAGATTGATAATGTGATAAACTGCATATTTCGATGTAAAAACGTTTATATCTGTAAAGCCATCTAATTTTCTTTATTTAACTTAAGTTTGCTTACAGTTTAATTGTTTCAAAATATTTTCTTCATTGTAAAGACTGTGTATAACTGAGAAAATGTCATGATTCTGCAGTTGATTTATACATCCACAACTATAAAAAAGGACCCTTTTATATTAAGTGTCTGTAACTACAATGTACTAAATCTGTAATTAATTTCTTTAGATACATCTATGCACTGTTGACCCTACCCCTACCCCTTAATCCACCCTTAAACCTAACCATACCACAGCCTGTCCATAATCTTAATTATGTCTCACCTCAGTAGCAGCAAAATTGTTTTGCAATAAAAGTTGCATAGTATCTAAAAAAAATTAAAAAAAACTATCTATCTACTAGCCTATTACACAATTTTTCTTGTATTCATGCACTGCTAGGTTTGTTAAAAACAGAAGTATTTTGTAAATTCATGGCTGATAATACTGACAATTGTCTTTTCTCACAGGCAGTGTACTTCCTCTATGGTACCAAAGATTGTTTAGTGCAAGAATGTAAAGATCTGGATAAGAGGATTGAGGTAAACATTTTAATTTGCTTATTGAGACAAGTGTTCTCAAGCAAAAGTGTTCTCTGATTGTTTCTCTTTGTTGTTGTCATCATATGATTAGCATGTTGTCTGGAAGTTTTAGCCTTGACATTAACTTCCTGTTTCATTACTGTGGTGTCTCAGTAATGATATAATGATGATTAATGCTGCTTCAGAACTCCATTAAAAAGAGATAATAGAAATGCATAATTACTTTGGCTCTTTTCAAATACTAAAGGCTGGAATTTGATATCCTCTGACTGGATGGAATCATAGTCTGAAGCTAAAAAAGCGGAGTCTGTGATTATCATACACTACATGATTTTTTATGAAATCTGTCAACTCAAATCTGCAGACTTGCTCTGACTTTCGGCAACTAGCGGCAACTTGTTTGGACTCTAAATCAGGAGAAAATTGTGGCAAGAATTGTGTAGTGTATTCCAGCCTTAAGAATCTATTGCTGCATACTTTCACGACATAGTATAAGTAGGCGAATTGGCACACAACAAACGGCTTCAAGAAACAGCTCTATATGGTTCCTTGTAGTTACTGACTCTTGGTGCTTATGTGAGAACAGGTTTTATTTTTTAAATGCACTGTAATTTCTGCACCGCTAGCAGCACCAGACAGAATTACAAACATGATTACTTTTCCAAATATTGCCTTATCTACCGTTGTTCATACAAACAGTATGACAGTATGACCCAATCCAAATGCCATGAGTTAGAGGCTGCTCAGTAGACCCAGCAATTACACTTGCTGCAGTGTTTACAATCTTCTAATCCACATTTTTTGTGCATAAACCTGAATTAGGAGGTATCTCGGTAGCACTTTATTTTACAGTCCTGTTCCGTGTGTACACAAAATGTACTTCTTATATCAATTATAATAACTAGGTAATAACTAAGTACTTACCCTGAACCTACCCCTAAACCTAACCTTAACCCATGTAGTTACCTTATACTACCCAGTATGTTCTTGGGTAAGTACACTGTAAGTACACGTACTGTAAAATAAAGTGTAACTGGTATCTCCACACATATGAAAGGTACTGCATGATTAGTTCTAATGCCCGTTAATGCTTAATTGTGCTTCTTTAGCTGGAGCTGGATGGAGAGCAAGTGAATTTGCCCAGTCTGGAGGGGATAATAGTGTGCAATATCGGCTACTGGGGCGGTGGCTGTAGACTGTGGGAGGGAATGGGAGATGAACCCTATCCTCCAACACGGTGAGAATCCAGATGCCACTCTGTTATACACTTTATATAATCTACTATACTATACTATACTATACTATACAGACTTATAGATTTGACTTTGTGAGAATAGGTTGAAATTAAATTAAACTTTATACCTGTGGATCTGGATCAGAGTAGGATGACCTTTGAAAATTAATGTTTTCTTTATGTCCTTTTTCTTTCTTCAGTGTGGATGATGGTTTATTAGAGGTGGTGGGGGTGTATGGTTCGTTCCACTGTGCACAGATCCAGGTGAAACTGGCCAATCCTGTGAGGCTGGGACAGGCACATACAATACGGGTGAGACATAAAAATGTTCTTTACTCATACAGCTTAAATGGTGCTGAAGTGTGAGTCACGGTTCAGCTCCATGGTGCTCAAAACACTACAACGTCTCCACTTTAGGGTGTGTCTATAGCAAGTTTGTTTAATATTTTTTTTCAGTACACAGTCCATATAATCATATATATGTCAATTTAATAAACTTGTTAACCAAGCCAGTCTATTCACAATGAAAGCATCAAAACTGCAATATTTAACATAATAACTACAAGGCATACAATATGTAAACAATATGATTTACGCACTAAATCCAGCAGAAACTTGAGCACAATCTGCATATTTTTAAATGTTCAAGACAGATGCTGCTCATTTGCATAAAGTTGAGTCTTTCTCAAGTTTTGTTTTCTCTTAGATGCTCAGTGTTTTTCACTGCTCCCATAGGAATTAATTGAAAACGCCAGACAAACTAAATACAGGTGCCCTCACAATCTTTAATCAAATACTTTAACATCCCCGCCCCCTTGCAATGACGTCTCTTCCCTTATCATGTGTCTACAGTGTCAGGTCTGGGCAATAAGGTTGTCCAAGAGCCAGACAAGTCTCAATGCTGTCCCTCCAGCAACTTGTCACTCACATGAAATGACTGCAGTAATTAGCAAGCAACAGCAATCCAACGAACCAATCAATTTCTGAAAGACAAATTCAAATCTCTCCGTACATTTTTCTCGTTCAAGAAGCAATTTCACTTGGACCACAATAGGGAAAAGACGGTTTCAATTTTTGTTTCATTCTAACTGCCTGTGCAGACCTCTATGCTGAATAATAACAATCCACAAATCGGTGCTAACGATATTAGATGAGAACAAATATTGAACTGAATTGAGCTGAATGATGACACAATTGTATTCTGTAGAGCTGCAATATAGCTGAATTTTGCAACATGTTCTGAACTGGATTGAATCAACATTGAACTGACTTGAGCTGAATAATGACACTGTTGCCTTCTGTAAAGCTACTTTTGATTTGATCTCAATTCATAATTTGATGAATTTTACAACATAAACATTGTTATTGAACTGAACGTCTCGGTTACGTATGTAACCCTCGTTCCCTGAAGGAGGGAACGGAGACGTCACGTCGGATGACCGACGAATTGGGATCTCATATATATATATATATATATATATATAGGGCACAGAGGCTGGTTTGTCATGAATTTACTGATTTTTTTAACATATAAATGCTAATCGGTCCAAAAACAGCTTTTGTTGAAACCAACGCTTAAAGTGTTTAAACCAGGGATTAAAATGGCTATTTATTTCTACTAATTTATTTCTATTAAGTTATTTTTTTTTTTTTAAATAATCTCTAGAGCTAGTTTAAATGTAGTGTAGTCATGTATATATATCCAATGTGTACTTGTACAACAGCTAACAATTTCTTCAAAATCTGCTATTTTGCCTGTAATATCATTAAATGTGTAATCAAAATATGAGATGAATGAAAATATGAGACCATTATGAGGGGAGGGAATGGGAGATGAACCCTATCCTCCAACACGGTGAGAATCCAGATGCCACTCTGTTATACACTTTATATAATCTACTATACTATACTATACTATACTATACAGACTTATAGATTTGACTTTGTGAGAATAGGTTGAAATTAAATTAAACTTTATACCTGTGGATCTGGATCAGAGTAGGATGACCTTTGAAAATTAATGTTTTCTTTATGTCCTTTTTCTTTCTTCAGTGTGGATGATGGTTTATTAGAGGTGGTGGGGGTGTATGGTTCGTTCCACTGTGCACAGATCCAGGTGAAACTGGCCAATCCTGTGAGGCTGGGACAGGCACATACAATACGGGTGAGACATAAAAATGTTCTTTACTCATACAGCTTAAATGGTGCTGAAGTGTGAGTCACGGTTCAGCTCCATGGTGCTCAAAACACTACAACGTCTCCACTTTAGGGTGTGTCTATAGCAAGTTTGTTTAATATTTTTTTTCAGTACACAGTCCATATAATCATATATATGTCAATTTAATAAACTTGTTAACCAAGCCAGTCTATTCACAATGAAAGCATCAAAACTGCAATATTTAACATAATAACTACAAGGCATACAATATGTAAACAATATGATTTACGCACTAAATCCAGCAGAAACTTGAGCACAATCTGCATATTTTTAAATGTTCAAGACAGATGCTGCTCATTTGCATAAAGTTGAGTCTTTCTCAAGTTTTGTTTTCTCTTAGATGCTCAGTGTTTTTCACTGCTCCCATAGGAATTAATTGAAAACGCCAGACAAACTAAATACAGGTGCCCTCACAATCTTTAATCAAATACTTTAACATCCCCGCCCCCTTGCAATGACGTCTCTTCCCTTATCATGTGTCTACAGTGTCAGGTCTGGGCAATAAGGTTGTCCAAGAGCCAGACAAGTCTCAATGCTGTCCCTCCAGCAACTTGTCACTCACATGAAATGACTGCAGTAATTAGCAAGCAACAGCAATCCAACGAACCAATCAATTTCTGAAAGACAAATTCAAATCTCTCCGTACATTTTTCTCGTTCAAGAAGCAATTTCACTTGGACCACAATAGGGAAAAGACGGTTTCAATTTTTGTTTCATTCTAACTGCCTGTGCAGACCTCTATGCTGAATAATAACAATCCACAAATCGGTGCTAACGATATTAGATGAGAACAAATATTGAACTGAATTGAGCTGAATGATGACACAATTGTATTCTGTAGAGCTGCAATATAGCTGAATTTTGCAACATGTTCTGAACTGGATTGAATCAACATTGAACTGACTTGAGCTGAATAATGACACTGTTGCCTTCTGTAAAGCTACTTTTGATTTGATCTCAATTCATAATTTGATGAATTTTACAACATAAACATTGTTATTGAACTGAACGTCTCGGTTACGTATGTAACCCTCGTTCCCTGAAGGAGGTGTATATATATCCAATGTGTACTTGTACAACAGCTAGCCATTCATTCAAAATCTGCTATTTTGCCTGTAATATCATTAAATGTGTAATCAAAATATGAGATGAATGAAAATATGAGACCATTATGAGATTTTTGGCTAATTCTGAGGGTAGGAAGCATTAAGTGTGTCCCATTTAACATACTTTTGTGCTGTTCTACATCATTGTATAGTGTAAGTTGTGAAATATGATCATTGTACTTGTTTTTACATATATGATATACAGTAGTGGTTACCATGTGAGAAAAAGTGACAATTTAAAGGAGAATGAATTTTATGTAGTTTTCCTTTTTCAAATGTATTTTAGGCGTTTACAAATGTAATTTATATTGTTGATACAAACACATTATATTCAAAGCAGAAATTGTATAGGTATTAACCAAAAAGCTGTGTAATAAATGACAGTCATATGTACTGAAATGATTGAATGAGAACAGAATCAAGTTCACACAGGATTTTTTTTTGTTTTTGCTGCACTGCTTTTTAATTGTTTTTATATGTAAAGGTGTTTTGGACTGACATCTTTGACTGTTGTAATGAGTTTCGTGACTTTTTCAGCATCTTGTGTATGAAAAAGTGCACCTTGCGTCTTGAGACACTGCATTATTTCCATTCTTTAACGCAGCATTTGTGTTTTTAAATGAAAAAGTGATAAAGGCTTTAAAATGAAAGGTATTTATAGATTAAACCAATATATTGCTTAAAATATGCATAAACATTTGAAAAAACACAGCTGTGAATAAATTACAAACAAAAAGAGTTTTGAAAAGTTGCAGTATAGAACCAAATCGTCCCTCAGGTCCTTTTCATCACTGAATCAATGCTTGCACTGTCCACTAAATGAATATAATGAAAATAACCTGATCGACTGTTTAATAGTTAATTGTTTTTTTTTTTGTTGCATGCAGCTTGCTGCAGGGTGTGGGAGTGGCTGGACTCCGGTTCTGGTCTTGGCAAACACAAGAAGTGGCAACAACATGGGGGAAGTTTTGCTGGGAGAATTTCGTACCCTCCTGAACCCCATGCAGGTGCCATTTAACTCTGTGCTTACATTTACATATTCAGCCAGTCTCTCTCTGTTTCCATACACTCTTGTCTCTTTTTATTTTGTTTGAATGATCACATTCTTCTTACTAACTAATGGTTTAACAAAATAGTTTAGTTATTTCGTTTTTTTTTTTTTTCCCCTTCCAGGTGTTTGATCTCTCCGAGCTGCCCCCCTCTAAAGCCCTGCAGCTGTGTACTCTTCTGCCCCCAGGCAGCGTGCATGTTCTGGTGTGTGGGGGAGATGGCACAGTAGGCTGGGTTCTGGATGCCATTGATACCATGAAGCTGAAGGTGAGAGCTGTAGCCGAATAGTTGAGTGGACTTGAAAACGTGATAGATTATATTAAAAGTCAGGATGTAAACCAAGCATATTTTTTCCCATGTGGCCTGGCTAGTAGGATGTGTATAGAATGAAATAACACCACAAATGTGAATATAAGCATCACATAATGACATCATTATGTGATGCTTATATTTTTACATTTGCGGCATTATTTCATTAAAAAAAGTAATTTGTTGTTTCTTGGGTTATTAGAATATTGTTTGTGTTTGTCGCTCTCTCATTCTGTATAGGGTCAGGATCAGTTTATCCCTCTTGTGACGATCCTGCCGTTGGGAACAGGAAATGATTTAGCAAACTCTTTAGGGTGGGGAGCAGGATATGCTGGAGAGATTCCAGTAGAACAGGTGCTCAGGAATGTTCTAGAGGCTGAGGTAGTCAAAATGGACAGGTAAGACCCTGGCTGTGCTGTAAAGGCTTGTATTATGAGGAATGGCTTTTGTCATTCAATTTATTTTGTATTTCTGCTGTTAATGTGTTAGGTGGAAAGTTCAAGTTGTCTCCAAAGGAAACTATTTTCGTAAGCCAAAGGTCAGTACATACAATATACTGTATGATCGACCAGCAGGAGGATGTACCCCAGAATGCCGACGTGACGTCGAGAGTGACCGACTGAAAGGGAACTGAACCAACACTAAACTGAATTGAGCTGAATAATGACACTATTGTCTTTAGAGCTTCTTTAAAGCAGAATTTAAAAAAAAATTCTCATGTTTGAAGAAGTTTGCGTCATTGATTCTTTTATTTTCCTGTTTAATACTGTCAAGCTGCTTTTAAATAATATGTGTTGTATAAAGCACTATATAAACAAAGATGAATCTTTATTTATTCTTTATCCTTTGCTTTTTTTTGTGGTAGCTGGTGTTGAAGAGTTCTCGGATGCCAATGCAGGTGGATGGAGAGCCATGGGCGCAGGGTCCATGCACCATCACCATTACCCATAAGACCCAGGCCCTCATGCTGTACCACAGTGCAGAACAGACAGATGATGATGACTCCAGCGCCTCAGAGGGTGAAGAACGCTCAGCCGATCACATTGACACAACTAGCAACACACAGGAAACAGTGACAGAGTCTTAGTAAGGCTGTAATCACTCTCTCTGTGCTATTTCCACCTCAGAAAGTAGCACAGCATGAAAGGAAGACACCCTGATGTGATAAATGTCTGATGCCATAAACGTAAATGTACATAATGTGCATGTGCTGCTCTAGTAATAACATCTGCAGTGGTTATTTCTGAGTTAAAAAGCCCCTTCTCTCTCAAGCACATCTTGTGGACAGTTTGTTCTCAAATTGTCCACAAGATGTCTATCTCTGACATTGGTTTTGTAGATTTGCGTGCATAATTTTTTATTTATTTTTCCTGCCAGGGAGTGCTACCCGGAAGCTCTAAGAAGTGGCTCAGGTTTTAGCCATTTAGTCCACAATGGAATCATATTCAGTTGTTAGCAGAGCTCAGGCAATCATAAAAAAGAGAATTCAGTCCAGTGGAGAATGTTACAAACAAAGCTGCTTAGACACCAATGTTTTGCACTGATCTTAAGTGCCATAGGTCTGTGAAAATACAACTCGCTGCAGAAATCTTGTATTTGAGTTGTATAAATTAAGCTGTGAAAATTTTTTATTTAGGACATTATGTTTTGTTTCACCTTTGCACTGCTTGAATCTAGAGTAGATTGTGAATGGACTTGCCATTGATATCTTATTATTTTGCAACTATTCAACTTGTGTTATTGTTTTTGTTTATGAAATAGCAGTAAAATGTTTCAGAGCACTGGATTAAGATACATTCTTTATTTTGCTGTTTGCATACGCTGATCATCAGGCATTTTTATTGTGTTTTATTCATTGTTCATTTTCTCCACTTTTCCATAGAGATTTGTTATGTTTTTATGCATCCTGCTTGAGTAAAATTTACTTTGCCTAGAATATATCCACCCTAATAGGCTTTCTGAGTATTTTCTTTAGTCCCACTCTTCCAAGTCTTTCTGCTTTCAGTGCGATTGTAGCAAAAGAACGGCAATGTTCTTGAAAAACTAAGCCAGGATAGAAAAGAAAAACAGCTTTAGGAGTGGTATGTGTCATACATTTCATATAGTCACATCTATGGCTTTCCTATTGGAAAAGCACTCAAGCACATGCCATTCTCTCCCTGAACTAGTGTCACTAGGTTTTGCTGATGTAATGCCTCTGAGCAGTTTATAATGTGGTTTAGTTCATTTCATAGTTAATTTCATGGTCAGAGTGATTTTTACTGAAAAAATCTTACAGATTGTTAAGAGAACTGTAATCTAAATGACAGCCATTTTTCATGCATAATTGTGAAGGAGATTTAGGTACATTTTTTGGAAGCTAAAAGGTTAACAAGAGTGTTACCAAAATATTCAAGATACAGTATTGTTGTAGAATTTTTTCTTCTTAAATCAAGAACACGCAACACAGCTAGAGACTTTTAAAGTCTTTTAAATTTTTATTCTTGCAAGAAGGTCAGGCAATACAGCAGTGAGCACCGCCATATGTGTGACAAAAATAAGTGAGCATGCAGCTCTACTTTTATACACTTTGGCCCATTGTTTTCCCAATGGTCGTCTCCTTAATACCATATATAGCTAAGAAAGCGTGATAAACACTTGATATGTCTCATTCCTCGTGTAGCGTCTTCCCGAAATTCAAGATGGTATCCTGTTTTTCCTAAGCAAGTGAGAACAAGCAGGTCATTGTGACATCTCCTCATATTCAGACCACACAGACCTCACACGTGAACACTCATATAGCGTTTCATAATATCAAAGCAATATTTTAGTTAATATATGAAGTAAATATGGATATAATTGATTAATTGAAATTTTCCCTTCCAGTATATATTATTTTTTCTCAGCAGTCTGAATATTTCCCTGTTAAATTATCTTCATCAGTTGTATAACAAAATGCAGACTGCTGTATTAGTCTTACTCAGCTTAGTAATATCTGACAACTTGAGAATGCTTCTATACCTTGAGAAAGGATAAAATCAAAATGGTGTTGTTTGTTTTTTGATTAGTGTCATGAAAAATGACTTTTTCCCATTATGTTTATGTGTATAAAAACTGAAGCAGTGGTTGTGATGAAAACATTTTCTTTACAACTGTAATTCCCCCACCCCACCCTTCAGATCCCCCCTGAAGACACCTGTCATATTCCTAAAACTAGACTTCACACATGCTCTAAATGTGTCAAAGGGGATTTAAACAAGAATATTATTCTCCTTGGGACTAGTAGTTTATCATTTTAATCTTTTGGGAGTGTTACATTAAATGGGAATCTCTGTATTGAATATTGAAATATTTTGCACTGACTTCTGTATGCTAGAAACAACATGTGGTTAACACCCATGGCTTATGTCTTGTTTTTCAAATGCAAATGAAGCCTAGTTTTTATCCGACAGTAGCTGCTCCTGGCATTGTGTTTAATGTTTAACTAGGCTTGTTTGAATGTGCCCAGGTAACATACCAACATATATTACAAGTTGGAGATGATATAAAGAATAGAACATAAAGAAATCTTTGGTCAAAGATTTGTTTTTATTATTATTTTTGAATTTTTATTGTTCAGCACCGAAAACAATGTGAGCTGCACAAATTAACAATCAACATTACAGGAGCAGGATTAAGGCATCCCAGAACAATTTCACAAATGTGATCAATACAACAGAAGATGAGAGAGAAAGAATAATAAATTAGATAATATTATTTATTCTTAAATGAGACATGGCCATGTCATGCCTTTATTGGTATTATTCTGATATTTTACTTTATGTATATTTTCCCCCACTCTGAATAAAAATTTAATATATTTTCATGTAGATTTTTAAAATAATATTCAGTTACTCTATATGATGTATCAACCAAAATTGTAATATTGCATAAAGCAAACAATAAATGCCTTACTACTAAACTTTCTGAGCTATATTTTTAGATTGGTACAATATTTCCTTACTGCAAAGTGAAACCTGTATTATTTTGTTTTAGATTTGTTTCTGATAACACAACATACAGCTTTCATATATATATATATATATATATATATATATATATATTTGTTATAACGGTTTGATTTACATATATACATGGTTACTGGTGTTGAATGTTTAATTTTTAACACACATTTAACACTTGTTGGTTTGACAGAATTACACATGCTTATAAACTGACTGGACCCAGCCAGGATACTTTGATCAGGAACCAAAACAACTCTATCTGGAGCACACTGCCAATGGACTTTACCCATGTGATAAAACCAACAAATGTCAATTGTGATAATGTGAGGATATTAAACACTTCAAACTCACAACTAAAATCTCCAAAAATAACAGAAACAACGAGAACAAAGTAAGATTAAATAATGTCACATTTGCAAATCCCATTATGTACAATGAATTTTCCCCTTTCTGGAACAATGACGCATAACCATTTATTACACCGCTCTCTGTAATACTTGATTTTAGTCAATCGTACCAATCAAGCCAAATATTTTTGTATAATGACCACTAAACTTTTTAATTGACTGTTGTCTTGCTCTTTTTTTCAAATAAAATATTTTCAACATAGCTGTGCTAGTGTCTCTTGTATCACTCTGCAGTCTTGTTCTTCTCACTTAAATCATTTCAGCCTAAATCAATATTTAATTTTCTTTTATGTGGTAAGTAGCCATATAATAGGATAAATCATTATTGCAAATGCAATACAAACCTCCTCACTTTGAGTTTTTTTTTAATGACAGTTGGACTGCATTAGCCTTTAGATATCATCCATCCATCAATCTAATTTTTTTTTTTTGGTCAACATTAAAAGACATTACTGGACATTTATAGATTAAAAAGACTGCTTTATGCATTCTGTACAATCACAACACACCTAAAATAGAATTAGAAAGATTATTTGCATCAAACCTGACTAGTTTAAACCCCATAAATGAATGTTTATATCTGTCTCCTGTCTTTCCAAACCCAAAAGACATTACAGGAGCATCTTCGAAACAAAAATGAAGATATTTTTAATATACCATAATTATTTTTGCCCATCCATTGAAAATCCTTCAAAGATTTCATAAAGATTTCATAAAACATGAACCTTGAACATTCAGGTTGTGTGGACTTTTACTCTATGGACAAAAAGATGAGAGAATATTAAAAATATATTAATTTGTGCTCCAAAGATAAACAGAACATCAATACATTAAAATGAATATCAGTTCAACTTATATACTTTCAGTTGCTGAGCTTGCAGAAAGAGACAGAAGAACCATTTGAGAAAATCCAGAAAGCTGGATACACAGCCTCAGTGAAAGGAAAGACAAATGTGTGGAAGGGGTAGACCCGGTCCTGCACATTATAGAATGTTGCACTTCCCTGATCACAGTCCAGCAAGACACCCACGCGGCTTGGGTTGGGATTCTGCAGCACCGTCTCGATGCTGTTGTGCCATGCAGAAAGCTTCACGTTAAACCACTCCACACACCAGGAGTCTGCATTACGCCCCAGACGGCTAGAGGGACCCTTGCGGTCGATTCTTCCATATGCAAGTCCCAATCCGCAGAAGTTGTTACTGCTCATTTTGATCTCCCAATAATGACGGCCCTGAGAGAAACCCTTTGTGCAGAGCACCTGGGAACAGACAGAAAAGCGAAGGGGAATATCTGGATAGTAAGCAGTTTCGTCCGAGACTGTCGCTTTGGTGTTGTTTTCAGACAGCGAGATCCGCTTGTGAGCTGTTCTGACGTCAAAATTGAGGATAGTGCCATCTAGACAGGAGAAACACAAGCATATACAGTAGGTACGGAAAGTATTCAGACCCCCTTAAATTTTTCACTCTTTGTTATATTGCAGCCATTTGCTAAAATCATTTAAGTTAATTTTTTTTCCTCATTAATGTACACACAGCACCCCATATTGACAGAAAAACACAGAATTGTTGACATTTTTGCAGATTTATTAAAAAAAAAAAACTGAAATATCACATGCTCAGTATTTAGAGTAGAAGCACCCTTTTGATCTAATACAGCCACGAGTCTTTTTGGGAAAGATGCAACAAGTTATTCACACCTGGATTTGGGGATCCTCCGCCATAATATGGGGTGCTGTGTGTACATTAATGAGGAAAAAAAATTAACTTAAATGATTTTAGCAAATGGCTGCAATATAACAAAGAGTGAAAAATTTAAGGGGGTCTGAATACTTTCCGTACCCACTGTAGATGTAAAAGGTGATTAACACGAACAAGTGGATAAACTATGATGAATATCTAAACTATGTTAAACTCACATTTAAGAAGGTCACTTCTTTTAATAAAGTTTTGCACAGCTGGTGAACTAGCAGGTGGATCTGTAATGAGAGAAAGTAATACAAATAAATAAAAAGCTTTCAGAAACCAGTACAATATTGCCTCCAAAGGGAATGAAAGGTTTGCTCATTTCATTAATATGTCAATATAACAAAGGGGTGCGTTTCCTACTAGCACTGTTATCCAACTATGGTTCTTCTGTCATTACCCACAAAATTCAACAATTTGCTGTTTCATGAAACCATAGTTTCAACAAACATTTGCAAACAGGGTCGCAAACTTGTGTGGTGGAACTATAGCTCTCAACCTGTAGTTAGAAGCATAGTTTCTTCTTAGATCATGCACAAAGGTACAATAAAAAAGCTATCATGTAGTACATTCTATTTTTTTATTCTATTTATATTCACACACACACACACACACACACACACTTCAATCTATATATTTTAGTCTGTCAACAATCAGTGCCATTTTTGAATAGTACACATGTACATTAATTACTACTACTTTGTTGTGTGGGAACTGCACCCCTGCATGACATTCAATAATTTAAAAACGCCTGGTCTGATAAATTGCTTTTCTACTTCTAGAGTAGAATCTGCAGTCTATTCTAGAATTGCAGTAAATTGTGTAGTTTTGGAGCACAGACCCCTTACATTAAAGATTAAATTTTGGAGGACATGAATAAACGAACTTTTTCCACATACTTATGTCAGGTATGTCTACAGTTTTAACTGCAATGTCAAGCAAGTTTTCCATGCTTTTGGAGAAAACAGGATTTGCTCCTTTAGAGGAATTCCTAGATTCTGGCAAAGACTATAATGTTAGAATCATTTTTTAATAAATATGAATTTGATCTACATTCCTTTTCAGAACAATTTTGACAAAATCTCTGTGAAACATAAGATACATTACTAACACAGGCTCCTCCTTTTTTAACCCAATCACGAGGTGTGAATATGTTCAACACACATAGCAGTGATCAGACAAACAGTAATAGTCTGTTGTAAAATAATGAACATATTGAGGGGTGGTCAGAACTTACTGTTTGGCTTCTGGTCTTTACGCTCTTTGTGATCCTTCTGATCTTTATTAGCACTCTTGCCTATCAAAAAATAAAGAAGAACAATGAGAGGAAGGTGTACATTTTAATCTATGTTGTTTATGGCTCCAAAACATATAAGCAGTTGACTCACTTGACATTTTCTGTTTAGCTCCTGAAGGGTTGGCTTTGGGACCGCGATCTGGACTGGGAAATCTCATATGTGCTGAAACATATTGGGAGAATAATTGTTTAAAATTGAATGAGAAAAAATAGTGATGAATGGATGGATGTATGGGTATAGGTTATACTGAATCAAAAAAGTCCAGTCAGTTGCATGGAAGTTGCAACTTACACATGCCTCTTGAATTTGGTAGGAAGGCAGGAGGCTCACTTCGGATTACTGGGAATTGGTTTCCTAGACCTAGTGGATTAGAGAAGTGGTTAAAATCTTCTGGCAGCAGTTTTATTAAGAATAAGGCACTAGGGCTGGGTGATTTTTTTTTCTGATTTTATAGATTCATTCGAATTTACTGTTTTGCCACAATTTTATTTTTTATAAATAAAATTGTGGCAAAATTTATTTATAATTATAAATGTTACTTAAATCATGTTGTATTTATAATTATGTTACTTAAATCATGTTGTATTTACATTTTAAGGTGACTAGTTAAATGTAAAAAAAAACAAAAACATATATATATATATAAAAATAAAAATCGAGAATTGGTCAAATGTTCTAAAAAAAAAAAAAAAAGAAAAGATTTTATTTTTTGCCACATCACCCAGCCCTATAACAACCTCAACAACATATAACTGGCAACAAAATCACTTGTATAAAAATGCTTTAGATGATAAGTATGTGCCAGATTTCTTACTTCGATTTCCACACCAATTATTTCAAAACACAATCTCACCTGCACCAAGAACAGATTTCTCAAACTCTGTAAAAACATATGTATATCAGAACTCTTAGCATGCAAGACTATGTGTGGGGTTGCTGTATACGAACATCAAAACATTCTGCACAATTTATATAAGTTCTGCACTAACACACCTGGTTTAATTACATAGATTCTGTTTTCTAATGGATGATCCATTAATCTGGTGATCCACTCCTTCAGTGCAACTGCAGAGGAATGATAAGCTATCACCTCTTTACTTTCCACACTGATGCGAGGGTTATAGGGTTCAAAATTTACCACTGAGGGCAAATCCACGGACGCCTGTGACAGAGATTGGTAAAGTCAAGAATACAAACATACAAGCTGCATTGCACGACATTTAGGTTAGCAAAAAAAAAGAAAAAAAAAAGATCAAGTATAAAGCACATCTTGAACTGACTTTTACTTTTTGCAAGAGATCCTACACTAGCACTGGGCTTCACACAGAATATTTAATCATATATACATCTAAGGCTCAAATAACAGTACTAAAAATGAAAATTTATTTCAACATTTGGTCACATGATCACACTCTGGATCACCTTTAAGAAGTCTAGTGACTGCGACTGGTCCAGCAGACTGTTGATCTCAGATTTGGTCCTATTCATCTTCTCGATGTTCTCATTAAATTTCTTCATCAAGGAGACCAGTTTGCTCTGACCTTTCTCCTGTTCCTTATCGATAGCAAGCATGGCTTCTTTCTCATCTTGGTCAATCATTTCTCTGATCTGCCTGTATTCAGCCTCAAGAATACGTTTGCGGGTTACAGCTAAGTCCTGGGAAAGCAAAACCAAAGGAGATGAACGCTCCACATGCTGACATACAGTATGTGATAGTTATGCACATCTTGTCATCTCTTACAGTACCTTTATCTGATTCTGTTAAAGATTCCAAAAGAAAAATCAACATTTATCAACCTTTAATTTGTTTTGTTGCTCCTTCATCTGTGTGACAACCTGCTGGTTCTTGTCAGTTTTGACTTCAAGGATGCTGAGCTTGTCATTCAGGTCAGTCTAAAAAAAGTTAAGAATAACAACTAAGTATTTTAGGGAATCGCATATGTTTCAGGCCGTGAAATCCTACTAAATGTTTACATATCAAATAATACAAACCCTGAAAACAAGCAAGCAAATATTACAATTATTGAACACTATGCTTCTGTTGTTTGCTTAGTTTGTCAGCATGTCTAAGCGATAAAAAAAAAAAAAAACATTGTCAAAATCTATTATTGCGTAGTTTATTTAAAAAAGTTATACAATAGTAGGGCTGCACGATATATCGAAATTATCGAAATATCGCAAATGTAAATATCGCAATATCATTATCATTTTAATAATAGGCTACTTAAATCAAAACGTTGCAAAAGGTCAAAGTTTTAGTTCGAAGCATATAGCAGAGAATTGCTTGATGTTAAAAAGAGTTATTAAGTGCAATAAGTTGCAGAAAACAACTCTTTGCCATCTCGTCTTGCTGTCTGACAGACTCACACCTGAAGCGCGCGCACAAGCCGCATCTCGCACAGCATATCTTCAGGTGTGCCGCACACGTGCAAAGCGCGTTTACACAGAGAGACGCGTTTCAGACGGCGCGCGAACACCGAGTTGATTCGTCTTGAACTTTCTCAGACTATAGTTTTTGCTGTGGTATATGAAGAAGTACTTAAAGTGTATGGAAAGCAAAGTCACAATGATATAAAATTAGTGTCATTCATTTTTTTGTTTGTATGTTCACATTGATGTTAAATTTCATTTTCTGATTTGTGACATTACTTTTTATGTACTGCTAAAACACTGCTGGTCACTTTCAGAAGTTGTAGTGATTCTTTATTTTGCAAGAAAGAATGTGAAACAAATTGGTTATATAATTTTCATTTTTAAATATTTTAAAATATAATTTAAATAGATTTTACACACTTTAAGCAATATCGTATCGCATATCGAATTTTTTAACAAGGTATCGCATATCGCATTTTTCTTCAATATTGCACAGCCCTATACAATAGTTTGTTATGGTTGTCAAATTAAAATGGATGAGCAGCAGTGAAAGTCCTGATATTTAGTACAACTGCACTGCAATGTTTCACTGTTTGTATTCTGCTTTCTGTGCTTGTCTGTGTTCACATTGTTACAGGCCAGGTTTAAAGTAAAGTGGACACTTCGATTTTAACGTAATAGCGAGTACAGCCATTTGTAACTTAAATGTTCAAGGCTTCCGGTGTCATCTGGTCTGTTATGCTGCTTGATAATGCAGACTGGTATGTGTTATATTAATTTAATTTACTGTCATAATCATCTTTAGTCGGTTAGAACAGAGTTTCTTTCACAATTTAGAAGGGAGTGGGATAAGTAAATCTTTAACATTCCAATCTCTATCATTGCTCATCACACAAAAATTATGTTTGGTTTCTTTTGTAACTATTTTTGGTGTAGAAGACCACACCTCTTTTTCCCAGATATGTCATGGTCATGATTTCTAAATTGCCTAAAATGTCCAGCTTTGTTTTCCTATTGTTTTCATACTTGCAGTGTTAATTTTGACAGGCATTTTTGATTTAGTCTTAGTCTTTATCTTGAGACGAAAATGCTTAATAGTCTTACATTTTAGTCATTTGAGTCTTTCATAGTTTTAGTCGACGAAGTCATTGCAGTTTGCCTAAAAGTAAGGACTAAAAGTTGACAAAAATGCAGTTACCAACATTTATTTTGGTAGCTATTTTATATGTAGTCTTCAAACAAAAATAGTAATTAATTCTTCTCTCTTTAGACCAAATCAATTCATCTTATGAGAAATTTGAATCAAGGATTGAATTGGGAAAAACTTGAATAAATAATGACAATTTTCATTTTTGTTTGAACTATTCTTTAACAGTAGTGAAAAGGGAGCAACTTCAAAATTTTCATTTTTGGGTGAACTATCCCTTTAACAGTAGTGAAAAGGGAGCAACTTATAAAAATTATGGTTGTTCATATATAATATATATAATACATATAATTTATCATTTTTGAAAAAGAAGCAGAATAAGACAATAAGACAAATATGAAAGTGATACAAATTAAACTCATTTTTCAGATACAGTAGGTTTACTTAACATTTATTTAACATATTTTGTTGGTTAACATTAATGACACGGATATGTACTTAATTAGGAATGCTGTCCCTTTAAGACGGAAGGCATGCATGTAATACTGACACACGTTCAGTTTTCACCCACCTGTTTACCTTCACTTAATCCATAACCGACTGTATTTACGTGAGATATTCTACACGATAGACATTTGGACAGCTGTGTGTGTATTTGAGCACTGAGAACTGATCGCGCGCTGTATATGAGAACTGAAGAAGTGGAGCGTGCGCGAGAGAGAGAGCACTTCTATCAGCGCGATTCCGCCTATCCCGCCTTCACTAACGTGTGTGTGTGTGTGTGTGTGTGTGTATGATATATGTATGAGGAGGACTATAGAGAGCACGTCAATAGGAAAACAAAAAACCTGTGGTCAGTTTAGTAAACTTAGCCTCTGTGTTAAGACAGTGTCTTAAGAACTAGTCTGACCAACTAGCAGTTAGCCAAGCGGTAATCAGTCTCGTTTTTTGGATTCAGCGTAGACTAATCTATGTTTTTATGCAATAGAATTAAATACATATGACCAGGCTTAAAGAAAAAAATTTGATGACTAACTTGTAAGCATAGTCTAAACCTTTTATGCAACTGGCCCTGGACATTTTAGGCAATTTAGAAATCCCAACCAGGACGTGTCCGAGCTCTTATCATCCAATCGTGGTTGCATCGCTCTATTAGTACCACTGGACCTTAGAGCTGCTTTTGATACTATTAACCACAACTAGTGGTCGTCCGATATGGGTTTTTTGACAGCCGATGCCGATATCTTGGAAAGCAGGGTGGCCGATGGCCGATATAATTTTATTTATTTTAATTTATATTTAAGAAATTTTAAATAATTTGAAAATGGATTAAAAATAATTGTGTAAAATAAACATTATTAAAAGCTAACATAAGCAGTAGCATTTACAAATAACAGCGTATCTAAAAGTATGAGACAGCAACAAACAAAAAACATAGACCTACCATTAAAAGTCGTGCTTGCACAGATTCTGCACAATCCTCTTCAACAATATCCTCTGCTTCTCAATCGAGATCAAACTGATAAGCGATATTAACAACGCCTTTGTTTACAATACAACCGGAGCACATGCCGCTGAGGAGAGGGGCGGGACGTTAAGAAGCACACTAGAGGCGGTTTAGCCAATCACAATACACTGGGCTAGCTAACCAATCAGAGCCCATCGCCTATTTCTGAGGGAGGGGCTTCATAAAAGAAGGAAAAGATCAGCCCGTTTCTCAGAGAAGGGACAGAGCTGTGTGAAATAAAGGTAAATTATGTGAAAAATAATGAGCTTTTTAAAAAACGAAGCATTAACTTCTATCTGATTATTAGATAGACTTCTATCCATATTAGACAGAACTGAACGACGACAGCGAACAAGAGGGAGAATGTGAGCGGTGTGCGCTCAGGCGCTGCCGTTCTCAGCGCCGTCAAAATAAAAGTCCCGCCTCGAACACATCGGCCAAACAGAAAAACGTATCGCGATGCCGATATTTGAAAAATGCCAAATATTGGCCGATATATCGGCCTTGTCGATATATCGGTCGACCACTAACCACAACATTCTCTTGCATAGTCAAAATTATGTTGGTATTAGTGGAATTGCATTTGCATGGTTTAAATTGTATTTATTCTGACCGTTATCACTTTGTAGTAGTAAATGAAGAGATGTCATAATGATCACCATGGAGTGTAGCATGGCTCAGTACTAGGACCATTGCTTTTCACCATTTTGCTCCCTTGAAAGATATCATTCAGAAACATAAGAGTTAGTTTTCACTGTTATGCTGACAACAGACAACTCTATATTTCCTTGAGGCCTGGTAAAACCTACTGATTTACAAAAGCAATGGAATGCATACTTGATATTAAAAACTGGAGAACTAGTAACTTCCTAATGCTAAATTCAGGGGGGAAAAATCCTCTATGTGGAAGCATAGAGGATTATCAAAGAGAATCGACCAAGTTTCACAACGTGCTGATGTTTATGTTAAATGCAAACTTATGAACCTGCCTATGACAGTTGAAGCAATGGTTTATAGTTTGATGTCACATGAATTTCCGTCATGTTCACTTTGTGTGGTTTTTAAAGTGTCAACTTTGGAGGTCCTGTACACTTGCATTATATGGACTCAGAAATTGATAATTTTTCTAAAAATCTTTGTTTGTGTTTATCTAAGGAAAGAAAGCCGTATATATTTGGGACAGCACTGGGACAGTGCGAGTAAAATTATGAGACAATTTTCCATTTGGGGTGGAATGCCCCTTTAAGCAATGTACATATATCTTAACTTCTTGCTGGATGGTTCAGCTCTTCAGTATTTAAGCAAGCTAGCATGCACATAACACACTATCATGTTTTTTTAAAGGGGTCATATGATGCGATTTAAATTTTTCCTTTCTCTTTGGAGTGTTACAAGCTCTTGGTGCATAAAGAAGATCTGTAAAGTTGCAAAGACTAAAGTCTCAAATCCAAAGAGATATTCTATATAAAAGTTAAGAGTCAGCCACGCCTACCTAAAACGGCTCGTTCTAACACGCCCCCACATACCTACATCACGATACCTTAAACCGCATAAACACATTTCATTACACCAAATACACAAAATAATGTTCTTTTTAGCAACATCATATGACCCCTTTAACACTATCATGTTTTTTTACACGGCTCTCTCTCTACTTGATTCTGATTGGTCAAGTCACGCAATTCCGAGGTGTGCTATTACCCTATAACAACCGTCGTCATTAGCAATGCCGAATAACATAATGCTCATAATGGGTATTTGAGGCTGGCGATTCTTTCACATCTCTCATATCACACTGCTGTGCTCTCTGTCTTTTCATTCAAATGCAACTTCTATCATCTTGTGCTAGGGCTGGGCGATAAATCA